CGGAGGTCCGCCCAGGGACCTCCGTATGTACGGGCTGGTAACCCTGTATATATATATATATATATATATATATATATATATATATATATATATATATATATATATATATATATATATTAGATTTCATAGAGCGGTCTAATAACAAGTTTTTGTAGATAGATTCATTTTTACAGTGATCCTAATCCAAGCAGTCCTGCCAAATGATGATTAAGCATAGATTCAAAGTCTTGAAATCATGCTAATTTTGGTGCAGTTTTATGATAATGGAATTAACCAGCGAATAGCATAAGCCCAAACATTATCAAACCACTAAGTGTAGTAGTATAAAGTTGTAATTCACTAGTACTACCACTTGCACATTCTTTTCTAAAATGAGAAAATGAAGATAAATCACTTGACAATATCCCTGAGTACCTATGATAGTAACCACATCTGCGAGCATGTGATGTTTCGACATAAAATCAAGCCCTTGTAAATGAGCAAAACCAGGTGCCTTAAATTGTTTTTTCTTAAGCACTAAAAATACCTGAGCTAAAATCACAGAAATAAAGAAAATAATTAATTCTTTCAGTCTTAAATGATTTTGAAGAACAATTTCCGTATTTGTTTGTCCAAAACCACCCACATTTGGATGTTTTGTTAGAGGCTGACTACTTCAACAAATTATTCTTCTGATACTATAATTTTTGGTCCTGGAGGTATTATGTCAATAATTTTACGACCATCTATTGCRTCAATAAATATTTCATAACCACTTTTTTCTTTTCTAATAATCTTTACTACTTGTAACACATTAAGAGTTGAGTCATTCAACTTACAAACAGTACTCAACCCTTACCTTAAGGGTTCCAAAGAAAAGCAACTCTAATCCCTGGGTCATTCAACTTAGAAACATATCAATAGTTCGTTCAAAAACCTCACGAAACAAAAAATGAACACAAAACTATTCAACTTAGAAACAATGTTCGACTCTCAAAAGCAAACCATAATAACCTTAAAAAACAAAGTCACAACAACCAGACCAGTCAATTTAGAAATAGTGTCTGACTCATTAGAATGCAAGTCAAAGAAACATAGTGGTCATACCTTTCAAATTAGAAAAGTATCTAACTTTTTTTGTGGTCTATCAGTCTCAAACAAAAATACCCTTCTCCCACCTTTCCTCAGTTTATTACCCTTAATCTGAATTCAGACAGAACAAAAATTAGTTGAATTTCAAACATGCATTCCTTTACTTTTACTTTGAATTTGAGTTCAAAAACAAAATTGACAAGTCGTAGGGATGCATACATATATAAGTAGACAACCATAGAAAGGCGTATACATAGGGGTTTTTTGATTGGTTTTATAAAAGGCGAGGAAGGTATACTTGTCTGTTTCCTACCTCCATAACTACTCCTAAGTTTCGCAGAGCTCGATGGGTGGACCCCCCACAAGGTCTTGTTGTGGTCTTGTGGATTACAATCCCACGTCTTCCTCTCGTAATCTCATATTAGACTTAGTGTAAGAAAGTTTCGCAGACTCTCGAGATTCAAGAAGGGGACAACTTGACTCACGTGAGAGGGCCTTGGTGTCTTGACGCGTTTGCGGGCCCCTCAATGTGGGCCGAACGCAGCAAGGTTACGTAATCAAAGTTAAAGCACATGGTAAAACGACTTTCTGATAGTCCCAAAGTCGCAGCAATGTACCCCCCCTTTCTTGAGCTTGATCACTTTCTCAAGCCGGAACATCGTCACCTTCGACCACATCGTTGTTACGCAGCCTAGCAAGACTGCGTTCAAATAGAGCACCCCCCCTCATGCTTTTATTTGAAATACACAAAACTTGAGTTAAAACTCGGTTGAATGTTGCATCATCAACAACTGTGGGCAACAGTAATGCACCGTACAAGTAGCAGTGCATAGCACTCGACACAACACGCTACGATGCCATACAGCAGAGACACATCAGTGTACAACGCAGATCTCAGCTGAATACATCAATCGTGCACTAGCGAACACATCGTGCACACAACGAAAAAATACAGCAAACACTGTGCTCAGCAAGCATCAGTAAGACACAGCAATAAGCATCAACGCACAATGAAGTACAACAGTACGACACAGTGTGTGCAACACATAACACAACAGTCCCAGCTATCCCAAGCAATACGTACAACAACTAACCGCAGCAGCAAGCGTCGCTGCAGATTATTACGACAAGT